AAGTGTCTATGATGATTAATGCTTGTGGCTCAAGCATATGTGGGCACTATTACTTTTGTTATAATTGAAATTGATTACATGTTGTTTCCTATTGTGATTTATGAGATGTGTCATGATTCATCCTATTATTATCTTAGCTCTATTCTTTGTTGACTACATCATCTGAGCTTATTCTTCACAGGTTATAATTACTTTTGGACTGATAGCTGTACTGTTCAAACCATATCAAATTTTTGAACTAAATAAATGGGGAAATTTAACCATAAAAAAAGGAAATATATATTTTCTGTAAATTTATTTTAGATAAATAAGGTGATCTTTTTAATTTGCTGGAAACTTAACTATGTTAAAGTAAATCTGTGAGTTCAGATAAAGGTAAAACATATTTATGTATAAAACACTGAGGAACTTGGGTGCAACTAGAATTGCACCAAGATGCGAAATAGTAATTGCAACAGTTGAGACAGCCAAGCATCATCCCAGTCATAAAATCACTGATCACATCTGTCTCTACTAGTAAATGTATTCCTGAGGCATCTTCACAACTATATCACGTTAGAAAATACTATGTGTAAGTCTAGTGCATTGGGAAATATGTATCTGCAAAAAATATCACACATTTTGGCATGTAATCGACATGTATAAAGAAACTGAATGTAAATAATTAGAATATATGTAGTTTTGCAAGCAGATATCTCAATCATAAAGTAATTAAGTGTTAACATACCAAAACATAGTGTCTAAACATCAACAAATACACACATGCTAGTGCACACACACACACACACACACACACATACACACACACACACTCACACACACACAACGGTTGAACCCATACTCCTTAAGACAATAATTAGTCACCAAACTACAGCCCAAACTTCAACCGCACTCTGTTTACCTGATCTTAATTCTCTGTGTGTGTGTCTCTGTCCACAGTCTCCAGGTGAGAATACCAGTGGAGTAGGAGACACAGGTATTTAGGACCTGGAGAAGATCAGGCTGAGACACAAACACAAGAGAGGGATTTTATGACCCTTTTAACTTTAGGGGAGAGACAGCAGGCAAAATCCATGCTTGCATATAATTTTGTATCAAATCAAAAAGGAATCTTGAAGACATTCAATTCTGGCATGGAAAAATTGTACAATACTTTACATATGAATTATATTTACTGATTCTTTTTTGCTTCATATGTCCCAGAAAAAAAAAACTTTAAAAAATCTTGTTCTGTCATTGATCACAGTTAATATTTTCACCTGGTCCAGTTAGCAAAGGTCAATTTGGTACATAGTTTTTAATAAAACATTTATGCACCCCATACCAACACAGATATTTCACCACTATTGCAATGTTATACCCTTTTTATTTAAAAAAATTGACGAGAGTATTCAAAGCCTTGCCTTGCTACCTCTATCGTTCCCTCAATTATGCAACAAGCTTCGTTATTCACACATCCACAATGGAGGCAACTATCAAGGGTACTCTGGGTGGAGGTTCCTTCAGAAGCTGTTATAAATACATTTACATTCTTTCTGGACAAAGAAATCTCTAGCAGTGTCTGCCACAGTGGCATAGATTAATATGTGCCAAGTGTATAATCTACATACTAGTACTTTAACAAAATACTTGAATCTTTGTATAGGGACAGTCGGGCTGACGTCACACGCCTTAGCAACCGGCATCTGGGGTAAAACAAATCGGGCAACATGGCGGATCGCATTGACTTCTATGTAAAAGTTGGCAGACTTTGTCCGAAGATATCATTCTTCACAGTGCTTGACCACTTGTGTCAGTGAGGATGAGTTATTTACCTGGTTGATTTCCTTTACAGGCTTTTGTAATTAGCAGCTGCACACCGGGTTAAGAGATAAAATCGTCCCTAATATAACTGCCGATCGTTATCTGTGATCGGGAATTTTACAGCAGAAGATTTTGCAAAGGCAGTGCTTGACCTTTTGTGTCGGGTGCGTTGAATCATTTACCTGGTCTATTGAGTCAGCAGGCCTTTGTAATAAGCTACTGTTTAACTTGTTACGAGATAAAATTGGTCTTAACTGCATACGCAAATGTCCACAATAAGTACCTGTACATGTACATGAGGTAGTGAAATAGGAATGGCTTCTTAGAACGTGGATCGTAAGAAAGACCTGGGAAATG